TGCAAGGAGCTTGTTCCAGTACTTTGGAAATTTTCAGAAGGACAAGGCAGTACAAACAGAGGCGACAGGAGTATAGTATGGGTTTTCCGGGCAGGACGGATTCGAGCATGCATCATCTGCGCGCCCCGAGGCAGAGGCTGTGGCCACCCTCTTCATTCTTTTGCTTCCTTTTTTTTTAATTAATTAGGAAATTTTGTAATAATTTTATTTGTTCATTATTTTGGGACTGTAATATTAATTCGAACCCTCTGAGTGAGGGTAGACATGTAATAAGTGTGGGTGAGTGTTTGTGTGTGTTTCTTGGCCCAAAAGGTGTGTTTTACCTTACTTTTGCACCATTACACACACTATCACACCTTAGTCCGAGATTGAGGGACTTGGGGGATTTGTTTCTTGAGTTTTGGACTGGTTTTGATCCAAAGAAGGAGGTTAGGCCATTTGTTCTTCAAGGGTTCTTCAAGGGTGAGCATCTTCCCTTTTATTCCCCAAACTTGCTTTGGTTTTCTACCTATTTTGTTTATTGTTTTGGCTCTTGTGTATAACATAAAAAAGGCTCATATTTTCCTGCTCTAACACTTTCATTGAGGTCTCTTTGTGGTTAGATTGCAAACTCACCCTCATAGGCCTTGTTTGGCCTATTTTGGTGCCCTTTTGATAAGGTTTTGTTCACTTCAGCATTTTGATCTTTTGATCACCAAAAATCAGTGTATTTTAGTGTCAAAAAAGTTGGTTTGAAGTCTTGCATAGGGGAGGGACACCCCTCTCCCTTTATGGTTTTGTTTCTTTGCTTTTTGGGCTCAAGAGGGTAGCATGTGTGCTTGATGTTTCTTGGCTTCATTCCAGCATTTTTTTAGGTATTTTAGGTCACATATAATCTCTGTTTTTGGCCGGATTTGTGCCTCCTTGCATGCTTGTAGGACTTGCTTTGTATTGCTCCATTGTACTTAGAAATGCATCTCAAGATTAGGCCTTGATTTTTGCATGTGTTGGCTCGATCCCGTGAAGTATTTAGCATTGTTTTTCCATGCTTAAAATTTGTTGGTTATCTATTTAGTCATGCTTGACATGTGTGTTGAGGTTGCTTTGTATTTTGGCTTAAAAGCTTTGAGCATGTTGGCCTCTAGTATGTATGTTTGTGACTACCCTCTTGGTTTAATATCATCTAAGGACTTTCTTTTTTTAGTCCAAGAATCATGCCTACATGTGTGCATGCATGGTCTTTTTCATATCCTAAGGGTGTGTCTTCCTATGCCTAAGAATGAGCCTTGATGTATTTGTTTCATGGGGTTCATTTTAGTTGCCATATTAGGAGTTTTTGGGGTCCTATCTTGCATGTATAAATTCTGTTTTTACTTGTTTTAATCATGCCATGAATGGCCATGTGGGTGGGGGTAAGTTGTCTCCTTTAGTGCCTTAGCTTTGGGACCATAAGTTTGCTTGTTAACATGAGTTGATTGTCTATCATTTTAAGCACTTTTGGCCACTGTTTTGAGAAGGGTAAAGGCCTGCCCCCTTTGCCACTTCAAGCCATCTTGCATGCTCGCTCCATGTTTGTTGCATATTTGTTCCATTAAGCTTTGTAGCAT